AAACCAAAACCACACCCTTTTCTAAAGATCTGGTTATGATCCTCACTCGCTCCTTCACCTTGCTGTGATCCCCAGGGCCTCGCAGCTGTCCTGCCTGCTCTCCCACCCCGTGCTGAGGAGCAACCGAGACCCAGGTTCATCTCCACCAAGTCCCAGCACGACCCGTCCAGGATTGTAACTGTGGTACCTCCTACCGATATTTATAAATAGCTACTGAATTTGGGTCAATTTAATAGCAATTGAACAATATTAGCAAATTGGTAAGCACAGCCCTGACCACCAGCACTCGTGAGGAAGTCACAACGGAGAGGATCCCCCCACTGACGCCACCGCGCCGTCCCCACCTCCCAGGTGACGCCGTGCACAGCTCCCTGCTTCCATCAGCCCCTGCGGGTGGCAGAGATCAGAGCTGGAAAAAGCACAATCCAGAACAGATATGCCGATCCCTTCAACCTCACCTCCCTGTCTCAAACTAACGAACTGCACAGCAGCCCCTCGGCAGGGTCGCCGAGCTGCTCACGGCGCGCAGCCCGCCCAGGCTCCCACAGCCTGTTTCCTTGTCATTGACGATAAAGAACAGCAATCCTTATGAAAAAGACCAACTTCACTCCGGACTCTCCGACAATGAACCTACCCCTGAGGGACGGTCCCTGCTGGTCCCTCGCTGCGGCCAGGCCACCCCTTCCCTCACCGTTGCTCCCCCGCAGCTGCCCTGGGTGGGAAATGGCTGCTCCATGGAGATTCCCGTGGAATCCCATGGGGACTCCATCTGCCAGGGCAGGACTTGACCAAGCAGTTATTTATCGCACATTTCTGCTCTGTGAAACCAAACGTGCTGGAAACCACTGTGTCCACAGCCGTGGGACGGAGAGGAGCGGGGCTGGCAGGCTGATGGGCTGGCACCCACCCACCAGAGCCACGGTTAGAGATGGATCCTCTAACCATGCACACAGAGAAAAGCTCGAATTGATGCACCGACTCAGCAAAGGCTGATGCACGGTAACACCTGGAAGGGACGACGCAGGATGGATTCACCTTCCAAACGAAGACACGCGTCTGCCAGAAACAGCTGTACAGCAACACAGGAAGCTGAACTAATGGATTCAGCCAAATTGACCACAGCAGTTTATTAGGCAAGCTGAGGAATTAGAAAGGAACACAGCAAAGCATGATGGAAAAGAAAACAGATTAGAGGGAATAGGGTAGTATTTAGAAGCAGATTGTCACTGTCCATCAGGCAGAGATCAGAATAAGTTCAGACATGGTGCTGGCTAGAAACAAGGTGCTGCGATAGTGACTATGAAAGTTGTTCCTATCTCATGCCATAGTAAACAAGAGCAGAGTTGAGGCACCATCCAGGTAGGACCCAGCTGGCAGCTGCTCCTCCTTGGGCAGCTCTTCCTACCACCTTAGGAGAACCCTCAAGGGCTCCACATCCAGCAGTGCAGGAGCAATGCCCTTGCCAACCCCCAAAATCACCGCAGAGGCTCCAGCTCCTTCCAACTCGGGCAGCCAGAGTATGAGGACACGCACCTACCTTGCTGTTGATGAACTGCGCGAGGCTCTGTCCCTCCTCATCACGAGGACTCCTAAACTGCTGTCACCCATCTCTGGGGAGGACGCTTTGACCTCCTGATGATGGGCTGAAGCAAGACTAATGCAACCAGAGGGGTGCAGCCAGTAAACAGGAGTCACCTGCACAGCACAAGGACCTGAGCTCCAGCTGAGAGGTGGGTGCTGAAGCAGGTGGGCTTGGGTCTCTCACCTGAGCAGTAAGTGTGGAATTACCCCAGTATCCCCCTTTCCTGCTGTGTTTTAAAAGAAAGTATCTCAAGCGCGTGGCAAGTGAAGCGACCCGCTTGGTGTACGTTAATGTTCCCAACACATACGGCTGTAACGGGGCGAGCTGGGCGCTGGGCACAGGGCAATTCACTTTCAAGAGCCCAATCCAGACTAGGCAGAAGACAAGTTTCAGGTGACAACCTACAACAGCCTTATGCAGAGAAAGATCTCAAAACTGAACAAGGAGTGACCGAGTGAGTTTGGGCACGGTCAGGCTAGATACAAACCTGCAGGGAAGGGGAATCTCCGGAATGAAACTCTGGACTCGCCTCAAATCTTCCTTAGATGTTGAAGTGTTTTATTCTGATTTATACCCAGTGAGGAATACCAGACACACTGGGTCTGGTAAGGAGAAAGACTTCACTGGTATGCAATGTTCACATCATATATGCTCATAAATGGAATAGCGAGTGCTGTGTTATTCTCTGAAAATAATGTATAGAAAAGTACTATTAAAAAACCAATGCCTACTATCTTTCATGTATTGTTTCTTTTGCTAGTAAGGTACCTCGAGATTAACTGATTATCAGTGTATTAGCATTCATGTTCTGAATAAAGTGTCTCTGGTCATTTTATTGTGTGTACACAGATCGGTTACTTAAAGGCTATGCGAAATTGCTTTGGATGCTAAATAATACTCAGAGGAAATGGCATTAGATGGGAGGGAAGAGAAATCTGACTTTGTCATTAAGTCTCTAAAGTACCCTCTTGTTTTATCCCCCTCCTCCCCCTGAGGATAATATGGCATTCAATTTTCCAATTATATAAATACATGAACACTGGATTGCTAGAGGCAGATAATTGAATATTTTGACTATTCTACAAGGGACCCTTCATATTTGAAGTGGGAGATAAACAGGACGTACTGCATCAGCCTGCGTATGCACAGGCTATAAAAGTCTGTATTACATCCAGAGAATATAAAGATCTCCAAAACAGAGAGAGATCTTACCAGTGTTCATAATATACAATAGTTAATTTATTCCACTGCTGTCAGGGTAGCTTATACAGTAGCAAAACCTGGGTATTTTAGGCCATGGATTGTACTACTAGAAAGCTGGAAGGAAAGGCATTCGCAGTTGGAGCATTTCAAATCCTACTCTTCTATAACTCTGTCTTTACAGGACATCAATCACATGATAAGAGAAACTGTAAGCTATTTTCTAGTAACACACTGCCAATCGCAAGACAAATGTCAGATGTCACAAAATGAGAAGTAACCATTTTTCAACTTGTGAATGTCTTCAAATATATTACAATGAAAGTGTGAAAAAAATGACCCTTTCAGCTTCATTTGTTCTGACAGATGCCAGACCTTGGAGTTTGGCATTTTATCTTCATACCGCAATAATCTTTATGAAACTTAAACCACGCTGAGGGCAGTGACATTAGTCTACAATTGTCCTCTTATGTACAATACATAAAATTTCAAACAGTCTAGCCGTTGAACTAAAAAAAGATCTTCTACTACTACCCTTATTGGTGTTATAAGAGAAGGGATGCTCACATCGGATAGTAACACATGCCAGGTATTAGTTTTTTGTGGGCTCAGCATTGTATTGCCATGCTGCTGATTGCCACTTCGCAAAAACGCATGCTGCTTAAAACTAACATCAGGAGAGAAACTCTCATTGTTCCTGCAGTAAAAACTCACTCAATACTGTGTGTGCATTTAGTCCAGGCATTAAACGGGTGGACTCCCTCTGCACTGACACCGTGCTTCCGAGGTCACGGTTCTGATACACCAACCGTTGGAACATTTTGACACCCAGCTCAGGGAATTTTCTCCAGTCCCAAGGTAAATGCCCAGGCGCTGTGCCATCTTACAGCTGTGCGGGTTTTGACACTAGAACATAAGCAAGCTCATTAGCATTAAAGAACAGAACAAAGGAGGAACATCAAGCTCAAATGTAGACATACAGTACTGTAATAAAAGGTGAGACTAAAAAGAATTCGACTGAAGAGCCCTGAAGTTTCAAGTTATTCATGTCCTTTCAGCCAGTCTCATGTTCTGCTTAGCCCCCCCCAAGAGGGTGATTACAGAAGCCATGGTTCATTTCTTGAAAAATAAGACTACTCTGTACAACTCCAGTGGTACAGCCTAGCACTCCTGACAAAATATTCTGTTAAATAATATAGATCTAATTTGTACAGAGCTATACTGTTATTTAAGGGGAAAAAAATGAAGAATATGTGCAAAGACCAAAAAACCCCTCTGCTGTAGATGTTACTGCAGGTCCAAATAGGGTAACAAACATGTAAAAGGCAAAAAATAAGCAAACCTAGAATACAATTAGTTTAGCCTAAAGTCAGTGACGGGATTGGTTTCACTGGAACTTAAATGAACTCTTAGGCCTCTACACTCTAAAGCTTTTTGCAGAAGCTTGGTACCTGAAGACACCACCACCACTTGATTCACCAAGTTTGACTTAATGAAGTAAATTTTTTCTGTGAATAAGTGTGAGCTTATTGTTTCTCTGGAAGCAAAAGGATAAACACCTTTAGTTTTACTTTAAAAAATTAACAGTACTTGTCACGGCAAAGACATGTACAAAGAAGTAGAAGCCAAAATAGGATTTCAGTGTTTTAAGACTGACTTTAAAAAATAAGTACGTAAGCAATGGCTAAATCTGTATTGATTCCAACACGTACAGTCCAGGCCACCGAAAGAGGGTCAAAACCTCAAGTCTGGCCACAAACGTAATTCCAGGTTTCAGTTTTCCAAAGTCCACAACTGGGATTTGGGACTGCAGCTCCTTAGTTTCCATGATACGTCCAGTGCATACAAACCAACTCAATTCCTTCGATGTGAGCGTGTCCCTCGACCAGTGCCACTGATCCCACGATGCTGGTTATCGTTCCGTGGTATTTTGGTCCTTGCCTTCACAGGTGCTTTTCTGCGCGCTCGGGATGAAAGCAGAGTTTGTCACACGAGGTGTACTGTAGGTCCAACAGAGAGGCAAATCAATAGCCATTGCCAGGACCATTATTTGAGGATGGGAGCTTGCAGTAGACTTTTTGAAGAGCGCAAATAAAAACCACTGAAATAAATAACTGTGGCTATCAGATGAAGGAATTCAAGAGCCTGCCTCTCCTGCTGCAGTACATGTACGTATCTGGGGATTAATTCTCAGTTCTGTCCAGGTGAATTAGCACCGTTAATAGCGAGGATTTCTATAATCTGCAAATTTACCGGCTGTGGCCGTGCGATTCAGGAGGGGTGTATGTGCCGCTGGTGTAAGATGAAGTCCGTCTGTCTGACAAGGACCTACTGCACTTCGGCGCTCCACAACCCCGCGGCCACAAACCAGGCGCTTTTCATCCAAGGCAGCCAGATGATACTCACAAAAATCAATCAGCGATGCCACTTGCTCGTGAAGTGGGAGGGACTTGTATTTTTTCTGAGCCAGGCAGAAGAAAGCTTCGACAAAGGCTTGCAAACACATTCCTGCAAGGAAAAGGTGTTTATAGGAGCTTCATAGCACAATGTTGGCTAGCAAACTGCATTCTTTAAACATAATAATATCTCTTGTTTCTTTAGCACCAAGGTCAAACGTGTACGTGCTGGGTGTGGACACACACAATCATGTTAGTTAACATCTAATCTTTTAATTTAAACAGCAGCCATCTAGAATGCTCACTAGCAAAAGAAATTGCCTGTCCTTCAGAAACCAAAAGACAAGGTTTTATTCGTACGTAACATGCACATGACCTCATTTAGTGTTTCAGTAGAGGGTAAGCCCAGGCTGGGCTACCGGCGGGCGATACTCCATCACGGAGGCTAGCTCTGGTGTTACAGACATCAGCCTGCCCAGCAGCCTGGCACCCAGAGGCAAACGGGTGTACGATATTGTACAATTAAATTGATCTAATATCAGCCTTGATTTCTGCTGCCTCAAATATGAAGTTGAAACCAAATCAGACACACAGTAACATATTGAGCTTCAAGGAAAACAATCCACCTGGAGAGAAAAAACAAGTTTATATCGGCAACTGAATTAGGTTATTTAAACCTTGTATTTTTAGAGATGGACCTAAAACAAAAGTTCAAATGTAGAACTACTGAAGGAGCATGGCATTTCAGTCTGTAGCACTACAAAGATGACCCCATTACCAAGGATCACCTTATTGCAGAACTGAGTTTATGTGAAGTGTTGCTTTCCCTCTGCGTCCTAGGCATGAGTCCTGCGCCTGCCTTCTGAAGGCCAAAGGGCGTTTTTTCAGCCATACCCAGTAACTCCACAATTGCGGTTTTGTTTCAGCTGAATGAAAAACAAACAGTTGAAGTGCGTACGAAGGGAAAGCGGTGCAGTGCCAAAAAATTTCTCTGCTATAATAAAACTCTCTGCTCTGCCCCTTCACAAACAAAAGTCCCCTGCAGAAGCCACATGCTACAGAACAGACTCTTCACGTGCTGTTCGATCACATCTCACTACTAACATATTACCACAGCCAATGGAAAGAGGGGCTGCATATTAACGCTAATTATTGTACTTAAAACCTTGAAGTAATACCTACTTGAATTCTTAATTAAGAAGCCAGACCACAATCGGTTTTGCAGAATGCCAGCAACAAGGAACAGTTATAGCTGCTTTGTGCTTTAACTGCTCCTCCCAGTTTGAACATACACTTAAGAAGATTATTCTAGGATGCGATATTGAAAGGTTTGGGGTTTTTAACTTAATGTTGGCTTATTAATGCTGCAGGAAAGGCAACTTTTCAAAATACTACAATTGTATTCTGAAGTATAATTTCTCTCAACTAAGACTGCAGCTGGGGTCGCTTACGATCTCGGCTGTAAAATAGCTTGCAAAGGAATCGCTGGGTTATCTGGAAGCAGCAGCTGCCAGCTCAGTAAATTATTTTATCAGTCACGGTGAGCTGCAGGCAGGGGAAGCACCTTTGGTAGCGTACGCACTTTCTCCCCCGTAAGTGACGCACACCTGAAGCATTTAATGAACAAAGTTAGAAGCTGGTGGTTTACAACAGCCATAGCTTCTGTGTTGGTTCTTGCTGGAAGTGGGCCAAACGCAAAGCCAACAGGAATGGTTGGGGTTTGTGTTTTAACACCTAGAAAACATCTGGTTCGTTGCAATTCTCAGCAAATCTCATAATTTCTGAAAGCCTGAAGATTCACTTGCATTTCTACTATTTTTGTTAGTGGAAGTCTATCAGCTAAGCACATAAATGACTTATGCCCACACTGAAATGCTAAATGCAAATACTCAAATTTTACGTGCTTGTGAAGCTAAGGCTAACCTTAGCTAACCTACCTAAAGTAGTACGGGAGTTCCCACATAATGAACCACTCTATCTTCTCTGCACTTTCTCCCTCCTAATCTTAGGTCTGCATTTATTCTCTCTGTCAGCCATGTCAACACTCTATTCCAGAAATACTTATGAAGCAAATATATTTGCTTTAAAAATCTAAGTCCATAAGACATTCAACAGAAGAAACCCATTGTTGATGTTTAGTAATCACCTATTCTCACAAGCAAGCCATTTTCTTTAGCAACCTCAGGTAAAAATGCGATTTGTATTAAGTAGCAGAAAATGGAGCATCCTCGTATTATCTCCAGTATCTAATGCTGCAGCAAGTGTGCTACTACTTAGGAAAATATTAAACATTCAAACATTTAGAAAAACTAGGTTTGAAGAGTTTTTTTCTTGATAGAAATCTTTTCCAAACACAGAAAATATTTACATCAGAAAGTTATCTCAGTGATCTGCACGTACAAAGTCAGCTCTGGGGTCCAAGGGTTATCAGCTGGATCCAAAGCTCTTGTAACCATTCCTCACTGTGGGGAAAGTAATTACATCTAAAAACACCTACCCTTCAGTGCGAGCAGAAGGTAAGAGCCAAACTTGCAAAAGAAGAACACACTGACATTTCAATTAGTTTGTTTTCCTTTGAAAGGAATTTATGAAAAATCTGTCTTACAAGCCCAAGAAGTGAATGTGGATGAGCTCTACCATGGGTACAGGTAAACTGAAGACAGTTTGTAACTTCAGACTGAACAATGTGATTTATACAGTTGGGATTTGGGCAGAGAGATCTGTTTTTTCTAGGAGATGAAACTGATTTTCATGTTTATGTATAAATCCAGAAAAAATAACCAAACAAAGTAATCAAATTTTAAGCATAAACCCAGACTTGGATGGAATGCTCCCTCTGGCCTGCTTATTAAATTGTGAGAGATTTCTTGTAATAGCTTAATATTCTAAATGCAACTGTGAGGAGAGTATTTACATTCATTTTTGCAACCACTCAACTGCCCTACCAAGAAGATATGTGGTGGTAACACAGCGAGCCACCAAAGCAGCTGGGAATAAGATCACACAGTTTAATAAACATTTTCCTTTTGGCTTTAAAGCTGTAGAAAATCCTTACTGCTGTTTAGCAAACAACTTCCCATAGCCTCTGTTCTTGGCCAATATCTTTAAAGTGGTGTATTTTAATTTAAATGCATATTCCTCCATTAGAAGTAAATAATTTAGATGAATGACTTGTAATGTTTCTGCCAGAGACGGTTGGATGGAAAGGACACGGAGTGGCACGCTGCGGTGTGGACCTGGCACCTCCTGCAGAAGGGGCCTCTGCCCAGTTGAAGGAAAGAAGCCACAGGACCAGTGAATCCTTTTTTGGGGTAGATGAATTTCTTGAAAAAGCCTTTCATCCATTGAGTACACTCTTACAGGGAGCATTACAATCCACGTTGGATGTGAAAATGTTTAAAAGTGACTTAACTGGCGCGTTCTCCTGTATAGACAAACAGGAGCACCATTTCCAGCAAGGGGTGCTTGTAGCAAAAAGCACTGCTACTCATCCTTAACGGGACCGAGCACTGTGCGAGTCTGTGCAGAGTCCTGTTGTCCTTCCCTTACCTATCACAAAGACAATGAAGATGAAAAAGTGTGCTGTTGGGCACACCCCCCACACTCTGGGAAAGGCAAAGTAATACAGGTAGTTATGTTTGTCCCCAAAGTAACCTTTTTGGAGAACAGAATGAAATAAAAATGAGAAGTGTATTTATTTCTACCTCCCGCATAGCTTTTTGCTAGACCATGTAAAAGCTACTCTAATTTGGACATACCTTCTTCTACTGTAATTAAATTGCAGGTTCCATGGGGAATGTTTTTAAATCCTTCTCTGCAAACAGCAACGAGGATTACAAATGCAAAATTGCAACCATAAAAGTGGCTTGCAGAAGACTTGTTCCGATAGATAAATTGAAAACTAAGAGTGATCTATTTTATAGATAAAGGGAAACTGCCACAGAACTAAACAGAAGAATTTGTTGTATGTGTACATGCCTCAGCTGTACATACCTTGTTCCCATTATTTTTACTGAATGTCTGAGGTGTGCTTGAGCTACCAAAACTACAAAAAATCCCAGCTTCCACAATCTTCAAATACAAAATAGTGTTACCTGATTCTTTGTGGTCAATTCCCATGCTGTTCCACCTTCTTGTGATGTCAATATATAAGATATCTACAGAAGCCATTGAAAAATTGCTGTTACTCAGTTTGCAGTTTCTGTTAAAAATAGACAAAATAAAAAATTCTGATTACATCCAAACTTCCAAGTTAGGAAAAATTCTCCAAGGGCAACTGAGAGACATTGGGAGAAAAGTTTACTCGCGTCATATGTACACACCCACTGCAACAGGCTTAGGTTAACAAAACGCGTACAGCAGACAGCAAACCAACCCATGTTCATTAAGTGTCCGTATCTGAAATGGTAAAGGCCCTGAATTCTTCACGTGCAGAAGGTCTCCTGGATGTACCTCGTCCTGCTGCCTGCTCAGATCATGCAGGCACCACCTCTGCTCTGGGCAGGAGCAGCCCACTGACACGCGTGCATCTAAATCCAATTTGCATGTGCAATCTCACGTCAATCTCGAGCCGCAAAAAGACAGCAGGTCAGATTACAGATTAATTGGTTTGTCTTGGTTTTGCAACAAACAGGCAAAAAGGAAGAAAACTCTGAATATTTCAATGAAAAATACAACTTGATTGTTACGTACAGCTTTCTCCTAGGTTATTGCTAGTACTCCAAGGCCGTAACAGAATGGAATTAATTGGTACATTGTGAAACCCAACACAAATCTGCACAGACTATCTACATGAGGCAGAGTTTGCACAGAGAAATACTCTTTTATTTGACTGACTGATCCTGTTTGAAAAGGGTTGGAGGAAAGCTTTCAGGCACACAATTACTTCTTCATGCCCGACCACTGTACAGATTTACCCTGTGTGTTACTGAGCACTGCACAGGAAACAGCAGCATCTCTGGATGCATCTCGGGCATTTGGTGATAAGCACATGTAGGAGATCTGACACTTGTGTGGTCTGAGCCTGCAGTTGATCAGTATAGGAGAACTGGCCATCTGTCCAGATTTTCCAGATGTCTGGCAGCCTCGCTGGAACTAGTGCACACACCAAAGAGCTGGCCAAAACTTCTAGCCAGAAAAGAAAAAGAAAGAAAAAAACAAAACCCAAAAAACCCAAACAAAACCCCCAGATAATTTAAAAGAATCTTACTCTTTAGTAGCCCAAGCAGAGCTCCTGAGAGTTAAAACAGAGAGTTAAGGTCCGGCCTAGATAGTCCCCCCCCCGCAAAAAAAATCTTAGGTAGCATCTAAGCAAGGACTAGAGCCATCACCTTTGGTGTTTCCCTTTTAGTCGGTTTTTAGAATTAAGAAATTCTTGAAGGGGAACAGATTTTGATTAGCTAAAATTGGAGTGGATAGTCTCTGCAACCACTTGGCCACACGTACGCACAAAATCACACTTGTGTACCATTTTATTCTTGAAAAGTGATACAGCACAAATCTTAGGAACATGACCTCATTTCTGCAATGAGCAGTAATGACAGCATGTCAGAAAAGGGCTGTATACTTGACATAGATCCTCTAAGAAAAAAATAAACAAAATATTTGCCAATATTAAAAAGTTTAATTTAACATGCATTAGGAAACTGTAAACATTGTTTCACGGAGATACGACAATTTATTTTAATATTCTTAAAAGAAAATGTTGGCTTTTATTCTGTGTTCCTCTGACAAGTGCCAAATTAAGGCTGGACTAAACAAGAGAAAAATACAGAACTGGAAACAATCCTGTACTGGTCTGTGGATAGAGCAGATGCCTTCAGTTGTTTTCTATATATTGTAATTTGTATAAATGAAATTGTTTATATTCATTCCTGAATGCTAAATGCCTCTGCATAGAAACAGGATCTGTATTTTAAGAGTACATCTGCTGCTGCTGCTGCTCATTCTTTTTGTCATTGTCAATGAAAAACAGAAAATGAGATATTTGTGCCATGACTAGAACAGATATATCCATAAAAAACAATGAAAAAACCCTCACAAATAAAAAAGTATGTGAAAAAATAAATTGAGTTCCTTGCCATTGCAAGATGCAGTTTCACAATGCAAATCCTTAGTCACAGTGCATCAGCAACGGGCACTTGGAAATCCTTTCCTGTGCCCCCCAGCCAGCACAATCAGATCTCAGTGACCCAATTCCGGCTGGCACTTTCTCACAATGGTATTCCTATGATTTACCGCGAACATGACATGTTGACTAAGACTGCAAATACTGTCTCCCAAAGTATGACTGATCTGCTGTAGAATAAAGACCCAGGTTCCTACTAGACACGGTTTCATAGGTCAGGTATTTTGGGAGCCTGGAATGATAAAAATGTGTTTTATAAAACAATATGCAATGGTTCAATGGAACTTATGGGGAAAAGTTTCTTTAGAAGGCATTACTAAACCTACAAGCAACTAGGGCCTGCTTTTATTGAACAAAACTTAAGATAAGCAAAAGACAGCAGTGCTACCCCATAGGATCTGGAGTTTCTAACTTCTGCACTACGCTTTAAGCAATTCCTAAAGAAACCTTCACCTTACTGACCTTATAAATGTTCGGAAACCTGTTGGCCCCAACTTTGTTGTCCCTTTTACACCAAGAAATCGGATAAACAGCACAGCCACTCTGTCCACAAGTCGCAGATAGTTAAATTGCTTGGCGTACTTGGGAAACACTTGCTTGAGACAGAGGGAGGGGAGGCCAGCCTCCGGACTTCTGGGGGTATCGCCTTCCCCTCTGCCTGCCGGTCCTGTGCCCAGCAGCTCTTCGCTTGCTTCTGGCATGTGCTCCAAAGTCTGACACCTGTGGCACATAAAATAATTGCAGCTTATGTTAAGCTTATTCTTACAACAGTCAATATGCCGTCTTTCTGGATTTTTTTTTTTTTAATTATAGAACGTAATTTTACGAGATCATTACAATAATGAAAACTCAAGAACAAATATTAAGGTTGCCTGAAGCAGAAATCAAGTTATAGGAGTATTTAAAAGGTTAACAAGCAGATCATTTTCTGATGCCAAAAATAACACCTATAAATACAACTGACAAAGAGACGTCGCACCATTACCGGGTTAATTGTGAGAGCTACTGTTAACTCATAACTCCCCTTGAAATGATGGGGAGCTGCACACAATCATACCATTTTTCTGTAAGTTTTAAAATTTTGTTTTATACAAAACCGGTCCTTTGTCAAAATCTTGGGTTTATCACCCCAAGAAGGCAGGAGTGGATGCCTGGTCACCGTGACATCGCACAGTCGCCCTCACCCCGCGCAGTTCTTTTTATGTGGACCATTGGCTACTGATTCCTAGGAAGAGGTCAGTAATTTGCTATGCAGATATTAAATTGCAACAAATTCTAGCTGTGTTCCTTCTGGGCACCACCCAAGCTGCAGAAACACATAGAAAATACTACCAGTGTTCAGAAATTCAGGCAGGTGGCTATCAATCCAGCTACAAAAATACAAAAATGAGTATTTTTTGAAAAGACAGGTGAATTTAGGACCTAAAAATTGTGACAATTTAAGACATTAAATTTTCCACATGACTCTTCAGCATTTTTCTGAAATTCAAATTCCCTTATTTCATAGAAAACATTCCAAAATTGAAGCACCAACAACAAGTAGTTACTTCTAAAAATCTTAGTCAAGGTATGCCTGCAAGATTCCCTTACAATGCTTCAAAAATATTTATAGTGCATCCATTGATAAAGATATTTTAGTTTATCTTTAATAACAGAAAGCCTGGACAGACATCAGATCGTGTTGCTGCTTTCTGCATCCCTGATCTGGAACAATATTTCTCTATCATGTTTTGTTTTTTTTTTTGTTTTTTTTTTTTAAGAAAAAAAAAAATCAAAGTTTTTTTTTTCTTCCCTTCTTGCTTTTCTTTGTCCTAATGCTCCTTTGAGCACTTAATAAATCCAAGGTAACAAGAAGTTCTCAACAAATTAGGCCCCATTGAATTAATTTTTTCTAAGATGGCAGAAGATTTTTTTTAAAAAATAGTTAAAGATTAAAAGCCAAACATTTCAACCTTGCCATAACACAGAAAATGTTTTTCTCGATGTAGATTCGTTGGGATGCTGCAGAATATCCATATTCCTTTCAAAAGGTCTTTACAACCTCACAAAAGATAACAAGCTAACTTCTTCCACATAGACAAGGAAACACCAGATAGTAACTGCATGTTGGTGTTAACGGCATCAAACAGATAGAGGTACGTAGAAAAAAAAAAAAAGGAGTTTCATGGGATATTTCATGGGAAATGCTTAGAGATTGTAATAATCTAATGATATTTAAACTTGTTTTCCAATAAAGAAGTTTTACCTTCCCTGATAAGTAAGATACAAAAAGTACAGTAAGATATATTTGCTAAGAAAATCTAATAATACATTCAGAAGCAATATGCTTCACATAAATGCACACTGGCACTACTCAGAAGACAATTTCTGGGCAATCCCATTATTTTTTCTTCAAATCCTCTGTGCATACTGTCAAAATACATTATTTCATCTTCATTGTCGTTGCCAAATTCCCTAAATAAAGCTGATCGAGATAATGATGTTCCAAAATAAATGTTACATGTTTATTCAGCATGACATATTTTTACTTTTTTCCACGTTTGACATATCTACATAAAATTCTCATAAATTCAGAAAATTTGATAGCTGATGGTAATTATTTGGCACGCACTAAGCATATGCAGGGTTTCATTTTCTTTTCAATCATTTTTCTAAGTACCCATCATCAGGAATAAGTATAATTCACACTGGGTACTAAAAAAAAAATCAGTGCTTTTACTACATTGATCTTTTGTGTTCCTGAGCAGATTTAGTATCCTTCAGAAAGTTCTGTTCCAGCAGAGGATAACAATCAACATCGTTATTATCCACCCACAGCACCATAAAAGGTAAGTCAAATCTACAGTAAATCTGTACCTTTCAACTTCGATTGCAAAAGGCAGCAGATTTCCTTAGCCCTTGTAGAACCATCCTGTAGTCAGTCATCAATAAATATCCCCATGGGATTTTGTTGCCTCTCTTTTCTACTAAATTTCCCTGAAAGACGTTAATCCATTGCCACACTGTCCCCTCTCTCAGTATAGAATACTTCAAAGTTATACTTTTAACTGCTAGTGAGAGGTACGTTGAAAATAAATGTATGGCAGCTGTAAGACAAAGGGCCCTTACACAAAGAAAAAAGTAGTAAGTGCCAAAAAAAAGTTTTAGTAAGTCTGAATTAAATTGTGATCTCTAATTTCTAAAAGACATTTTTGGGGCTGAGTTTTCAGCCCTGCTTTAACCTGGGCTCTGAACTCATTCACGCCTCCAGACGGCAGAGCTCACCATCCGCTGCAGCCCCTGCCCAAACCGTAACCTCTGATGCTCAATGCAGAACCAAGGCTGGAAACTTCTCCCTGCACCAAATGCCAGCTCCAAGTTTATTCAGATGAACTTTGAACGTTAGCAGACCTTGCAACAGTTCTTTGTGAAAAGCATCCATGTTCAGCCTCTTTTGGTGCTTAAGTACTCAGAACGTCGGATGGGGCTGTCACGCTGGGATTCACCAAGCATCTGTTCTTCTAAGACTATTTTTACAAACTTCTAAAATGATGGTAGTTCTTTTGCATCCACACTTACAGTCATCAATAGTATCTGTAAATGTGATCATTTTTTTGAGATAAAAGACTCCAAAAAGTCTTTAAAAAGTAAGTAAAAATCTTAGGTAGTGCTTGGGTAGTGTTCCTCTCTGCTGCAGATAGCAAAGTAGAAAAATAATGTTATTTTTGTCTTTAGTTAAGTAAAGCTTAAACTAATAAATTATTAGTTTTGTTATTTCTCATGTAAGATTGGATGGTTTCACTGCCATCGAGTACCCTCTGGCTGCCAAATGAGCGAGAGTATGTACAGCCAAGAAACAATAAGCATGCAGGTTTCTATCTTTAATCTTAAAAGATCTGTTCAGGAATTTAAAAATTCAAATCTTCAGCCAGTTGAACTAGACCTTGACCAAATGTGAAACCTAGTACACTCAGTAGGAGAGGAGGTTGTGTTGTTTGTAGCAGAACTCTATTTAATGATGCCTGGAAGCCCCAAACCCTTTCTCATTCTAAATTCAACAGTCCTTTGGATTGTACGTTATTCATTCATCATTAATGTTTTCAGTTAAAAAAAATATAAAGCTTTCCTTTAAAAGGTGCAAGCAGAGCTGGGGAAATTTAATTCAATTTCATTTTTTACAGAAAATCCTGAAGAGACTGTTCAAGGGATCAGCTTCAGGGAAATTAATTAGAGCCCCAGGCTCTGGTG